TTTAAGTGTTTTGGTATTTGTGTCTTTTTTTAGTGCCATTTGGAATATCATCTTTGTTAGGAAAAAAATTATGTTACTATAATAGGCAAATTAAATATAATCATGGAAATACCCTTATTTTAAAAGCGTGACAAGCCGGGAGCAGTGGCGCACACTTGTAATCCCAGCTACTCAGAAGACTCAGGTGGGAGGATGGCTTGAGCCCAGAAGTTCAAGACCCCCCACCTCAATCAATCAATCAATAAAAGGGTCACAGTGGTAGCTAGAGATAAACATCGACATTTGAGAAGATTTTGCTCTTTTATGGGTTTAACCAAGTTTTCTTAAAACAAATTTATCCTAAAGAGGAAGTTGAAGAATAGAAGTGTGGAGAGCATGCCAGATGGGTTAGGGGGAGAGTTTTAAAGTACATAGAAGAATGGTATAAATATCAGGGATAAAAGTGGGAAAAGATAAAAGAAAACTATTCAATAGGAACAGCTTAACTTTTTAAAATACCACTGTTCATACAGTCTATAAAAATTTCCAAATAGCCTGTATCCAAAAGAATGTCATACTTTTAAAAAATAAAATTAAATTAACAATTACAGTCACCAATTAAGGTCTCAGTTTTCTAATAATAACGACCTTATGACCAAAAAAAGTGACATTGACATCTTTGAAGTATGTTCAAAATATGTTTTTATAATAAGATGTCAATTATACTGGCCTTCAAAATTTTTATTAACAAGGAAATTGTAGTGTAATCTTTGTTTAACTGGTTGGGAAATCCTTATAACTCACTCAGCTCCTTCAAAAGTATCAACTAATTTAATTGCATTTAGATTCATTCCCATTTGTACAGGAAACAAATTAGTGCTCAGAGCTGTTTACACTTGTAAATGCAATTAAAATTGAAAAGTCAATTGGGAAACGCACTGGGATCTCTGGTAATAGCAATGGTTCTTTCTCCTATATTAATTTGAACTGATGAGGTGGAAAAAACAAAATCACTTCAAGACTATAAAATAATATGTATATTGCTGGTTACAAATTAAATGAGCTACAT